TTCTTTTTTGTATTGACTGTGAAAGTTTAAGTAGTCAATGTTTAATCATAACAAACTTTAATAATTTCAGTGAACAAACAATAACCTTAGGTTACTTATTGCGGAACCCCTAAAATATTCATTTACCAAGAAACTCTCAATACATATTTAGACAGTAACATTTGGGTCAGTTCTTAGCATAGATGCTGAAATTGGGGCCGAATTGTGACAGACTCACTGACAGTTCTCACTCTGCAGGTTGGTGTGTGGGTGTTGTAATGGATAACGGCTCAGAATAAGAAATCTGAGAGTCCAGTTGGGTTCATTACATTCACTTGTGTAGAAATACTCTTGTGTAAGGTACAAATCCATCTCCTCCCCTCAAATAGGGGTTAAATAGTATAACTTGTGTCTGGAAAGATCACTGTTAATCTCAAGAAATTGTTAATGCAATATTCACTTTTAAAAATCAGGAAGTGTTCTTACAATCCAAATAACCCACAATGAGTCAATAAGCCATAAAAAAATCAAAGCAATCAATCAAATATATTACTCTGTCAACAGGTGATATTTTTTTTTATTTGAATCAAATATTTCCAGATTTCTTGTACAACCCAAGCTGAAAATCTCTGTTTGATCTAAAGTTCTCAAAAGGTTCTCAAGACCAACTTCCAGACGTTTCAGAAATACACAATGTGTATTGTTATTTGAATATTTGACGATTATTTCTTTAACAAAGTTTGATACTATCTGGCATCCACTAGTTGTCTTTTTGAATGAGAGGATAAATCTGTAAAGTTTATTTAACAGTGAAGATACTAAAGAGAGTAGGTGATATTTTTTAATGACGGTCATAATAATGATGATAATAACTAATAATAATATAGAAAAGTATGCAAATTAAGAAATAGATATGGATGAATTATCTCCTCCTGATTCACTTGATGTCACTATCAGTTTCATGCAGCATTTCTCAACCTGTGCATCTGGGCACACTAATGTGCCCTAAAGTGAAACCAGATCTACCCCAAGTTAACGGAAGAGTAATTTATGAATTATTTATATATTTAAAAAAAAAATTTATTTTTTAAAAGCCTGGAGATATGGCTTCCATGATTAAATCAAGTCTTTGTCATTTGATATTTTAAACTTAATGCTAAGTTCCTTCATCTTTAAGGCGTGGATAATCCTTTTCCCTTTATTATTGGCCTCTCTAAAAACAATAGTAGATTCTTCATAAATCCCTTTAAATGAATTGGCTAACAGTCTAACTCTCTGCCTTCGGGTGGAGAGAAACCTGGACGAGGCTCCGCCGAAAGGCAGAGTCTCATTCGGGGAGGTTGACTGCCCCTGAACCCGTTTATGCGGGTTCAAAGGGAATATTTTTGGCCGAGCCTACGGGCTCGGAGATCCCACGTTAAACCCGGCCTTATACCACATGTAACCCTCGTGGGAGGGTAGCTAAATATCTCTATGGTTAATCTTCTTTGGAAATGCTAAACCCAAAATTTTATATTTCCAAATTTAATGACTACGTTTTTCTTATTAAAATTTAAAGTGTGAACCCAGAGTTTTAGTCTACAAATGCACCTTGAAGTAAAAAATGGTTGAAAAATACTGACTGAGAAAGTATCATATTTGTTGGTATGTAAAACAGATTTATTTTTTCCTCCCCAAATATTCGAATTCCATAAAGGTGTAAAATGAAGATGTTTTCAACCGGATCAAATAAGATTGATTGATTTGATTTGATTTTGTATGGCTTTTCAACCTTTTGTGGATTATTTAAAGCCAAAACATTTCAGATTGTAAGAGGTGTGCTCTGGAGTGAAAGAAGTTGGGAAGCCTGTTCGATGTGTAAGTTTTATTTTTCTCTTTGTTTTATTTTCATTAATTTCTAAATAGTTCTATCCTAGTCAATGTTTCTGTGGCCTAACTCGATGAGAAATTGTGAGGGGGAAGGTGCTGTCATGATTGCTGCTGGGGAGACATGCTTGTGGAAATTGCGCTTTTTCTCTTGAATCTTTGAAACTGCAGCATCGTGGGCAACTATTCTCTCAGATGATCAAATGATCAGTTAAATATCTAGGTGGGCTTCAGATCTTAACATATTTTTCTTAATGTTGTTGTTTTTTTTTTTAAATATCAAATAATACCCCCACCGACACTGAAATTATGTTACCTCTTATGACCCCCCCCACTTCCAAAATAAGTAGGAAAACACTTTGACATGTGTAAAATTAATTTTGACTGTGTATTCAATTAACTATATTTAAAATGTTCAAGTTTCTCTATGAGACTATTTAATAGGTGGTCATTAGATCTAAGGGCTGTGGAGATGTCATCATCAGTGGCGGCATCTGTCCATCTTGAGAGACAATTGAGTAGCACGGTGCGCTATGAGCCTGGGTGGGATATATGGAGAACTAGGGCTTCCCAGACATCTAGTTCCCCCCTCTCGGCCTTGCTAGCAGAGTCCAAAGGAGAGGATAAACCAATACAGTTTGGTACCAGCACGACTGCAGGAGTTGCCAGAAGGTAGCACAAAGTGCTGTCCATCCGCCTTAGGGGCTCCATTCCAGGTTTGAATTCAGAGTTGTCCTTCTCCTAGACCAGTTGCCATCCAAGGCTATAGAACCAAGTCTGTCCTGCTATTTACCCATAGCTGGAGGGAGAAGAAGAGGATTCACACCTTTCCCAAGGGTATTAGCACCTAAGTGAATGTAATGGATTCGACTGGAATTCAAACTCGGCTCTCTGATTCCTCAATCCAAGCCGCTATCCATTACTCCACCGTGCCTCCTCTGTGGGGATGTAGTGTAATAATTATCAGTATAAAAAATAGATTCACCAGGCTGAGGCAATTATGTTTACTAATGCCTTTAGAAAAGATATGCTGTTATGATACTGGTTAGTGGCGCTAAATAGGAAATCAGCAAGACAAGTTCAAATTCCAGTTGCATTTGTTACATACACTTTCATGCAAACACACTCTTCTCTTCCACCAGCTATGGGTTAAGTAGTTTGGCAAACTGGACACTTCAACCTAGTTTACCAACCAGTCAAGAAGGAAAACTCTAAATTCACAAACCTGGGTAGATGGAACATGTTACCATGGGAACACATGATTGACTAAGGGAAAATAAAAAAAACCCTGACAGAAAACCAATCTTTCCTCAAAGTATTGAGGTTGGGTGTGGTGGCCAATCACTCCATCTTGTGAAACAATTTAACTAGAGAAACATCACCAAAAGGTCTTATCTGCCATGAGACACCAGGCAGATAGCATGCTCTTGGAAAAAATTGTTAGACAAGAGGTACAGATAATATGTTTATAAAATAGATGAATTTCAGGTAGATAGCATACTCTTGGAAAAGAGGGTTAGACATATACTATGACTATATAAGGTCCAGATTCGAATAATCCATTAGGCTAGTATAGGCTGCAGCCTCAGATCCAGGTCCAAATTATCCTTTAGGTTAGTATAGGCTGCAGCCTAAGGCCTCTCAATCTTTTATAAAACAATGATTTTACTTTTCTAGATGTTGTAAATTCTAAATAGTTTCATCAACTGAAATGTTAAACACATTTATTTGATGTTGCTGGAATCAAGGAAAAGAATATTTTAGTTTGTGTCATTATGTTTCAAAAAAAGATAACGTTTGATTTTAGTTCAGAATATTTCAATCTTTGTAGATGTTTTAACTTTTAATTAATTTCATAAAATGAAATGATATTAATATGACAAACTCATATTTATTTTGATTGTTTTATTGTTATAATACTGAATATAAAGAAACATTTTTATTTTGCTGCGGTTAAGTTGAAACGTGATAATTTGGTTGGCAATAAATAGTAAAATAGTTTTATTTCGTGAAGAATATTTTTTTTTGACAAACAAAAGACAGCTATTCCGGTTTATGAAAAGAATTTGCAATAATTTTACTTCAAGCTATGTAAATGTCACTAAAATATATCATGGGTAAAAAAAAAATATTCAAGTGGGTGCAGGCAAGGTTGGCTCTTCTTGGGTAGCATAATTTCATTATCTTAGGCAGCCCAAAAGGTCATAATCCAACCCTGCTATGGGGTATAGGACACAAGGAAGTTTTTAACATTCTACAAAACTCAAAAAAACTGTCATCAATCTATTGCTATTGATCAGTCTATCTTTAAGGTATTTACCAAAAATTATTACCTTTACTATCATAAGTAGAAAAATATATAATTATAGATTTGATATATTTTATAGAGATGCTCTTACCTTGCTTGTTTCATGAATAGGCAAATTTTCAATTACACAAGATGTGTTTTTATTTCCTTGGGATATACCTGATGAAAAGCAGGGGTTCTTTTGGTTTAGATATGTTTGATTTGCATTTGCACACATGAGCAAGCATTTGAAAGTCACATCACCAAGTACCAAAACATTTAATGGATGAGATACACAAGGAAATATCCTGTAAGATTTAAAAGGCAACAAACTGTGCCTCGATTTACCTTACTCCTAACAAATGTCTTGACAGGTGACATCTTCATGCAGTTGTTGAATGATGGTGACAGACTTTGGTGAAAAGCCATAGTACTGCATCAGTCTCCAGATGACATCTCTGTTGACACTATCAAAAGCTTTCTGAAAGTCAATGAAAACTGATGGGTCGGCCACACACTTTGCAAGCCTGCTTCTAGTGTCACCAGGCTTTCCCTTGACTGGAATCCACAAGGGAAGTGAAAAGTGGATCGACCTAAACAAACTTGGTGTGGAAATGTTGATGTAGAGGTGAAGGCAGTTGTCATAACATGAGCTGAGCTGAAGAGGATCACCTGGAACTGCATCCATTGGAGAGGTGTTGTTGCGGCCCAATGTTCCCCAAGGAATCAAGAGGCATAATATATATATATATATATATATATATATATATATATAATACATATTAAGGGTTCAGTTCCAGACTGCCCATTTGTTTCCTTTTGCCTATTAATATTCTACTTTGTCTCTCTTTTCCCGCTCCTATGCCAGTACATTTCTCTTTGTCCATTCCTGTTCCAGTCTCTTCCCCCTTTGCCCGCTTGTATTTCAGTCTATTCTCCTCTTTGCCCGCTTGAATCCCAGTCTTTTCTCCCTTTCCCGCTTGTATCGCAGTCTCTTCCCCCTTTGCCTGGTTGTATCACAGTCTCTTTGCCCTTTGCCCACTTGTATCCCAGGCTCTCCCCCTTTGCCCACTTCTTTCCCCCTTTGCCCACTTCTTTCCCAGGCTCTTCCCCCTTTGCCCACTTGCCTTCAGTTCCAGACTGCCCATTTATCTCCCTTTGCCCATTGCTATTCTACTTCATCTCTCTTTTCCCACTCTGATGCCAGTCCATCTCTCTTTTTCCACTCCTATTCCAGTCTCTTCCCCCTTTGCCTGCTTGAATCCCAGTTTCTTCCCACCTCTTCCCCCTTTGCCCACTTGTATCCCAGTCTCTTCCCCTTGCCCACTTGTATCCCAGTCTCTTCCCCCTTTGCCCACTTGTGTCCCAGGCTCTCCCCCTTTGCCCACTTCTTTTCCAGGCTCTTCCCCCTTTGCCCGCTTGTATCCCAGTCTTTTCGCCCTTTACCCACTTATATCCCAGTCTCTTCCCTGCTTTACTCGCTTGTATCCCAGTCTCTTCCCCTTGCCCACTTGTATCCCAGTCTCTTCCCCCTCTCCCTTTTTACTCGCTTGTACCCCAGTCACTTCGCCCTTTACCCGCTTATATCCCAGTCTCTTCCCCCTTTGCCCACTTGTATCCCAGGCTCTTCCCCCTTTGCCCACTTGTATCCCAGGCTCTCCCCCTTTGCCCATTTGAATCCCAGTCTCTTCCCCTTTTACCCACTCGTATTTCAACCATCCCCTCCCCACTCTTATAACAGTCTGTTGAAGTAAGGTAACAGTTTATCATTTGTTGTCATACACACCTGATCCTGATTTTTTCCACATTATTTGGTATTGGAATCTTAAAAACTATTTTATTATTCCATATGCTTTCAATCAGTCTTTCAATTAGTCTCCTTAGTATAAACACCGTTGGTTTGAGTTCATGTGCTAGCATCTGAAATAAAAAAAAAAAAAAACTTATCAAACAACAAAATATTTTACTAAATGCAAAAATATTATAAAACAACCACTGGGATTTGAAAGATTCTATGAAATTGAATTTGATAGCATTTAAGTTCCTTCAGGTTATTTTATTAACTCAAAACTCACTCAAAAAAATCTCTCTTGGGTTTTATATGAAAAGTCTGGGTATTATCGGGTAGGTTAAGACACAACAGACTGCCAGGATGTGTACCTAGCCTAACTACATAATTCTGTAATTTGAATTCTAAATGCTGGCAGTTTTATAAGCTATCAAATATAGTAATTGTTTAATAAACACATTATTTTTTTTTAAACAAGCAGGTGTACCTACCTTTAGAGTTCATAAAAACATCTGTTTGTAAACAAGAGAATTTTTTTGTCTTTTTTTCTTTCTTTTCTGTCTTTCTTTCGGCTTATTTAAATAAATTTTATTTTTCTTCAGTCACCTTTGTTTTTGTGACTGCTTGCAGATAAAGACTTTCGTACACTTCAAGTTATCCACATTGGATGACATAGAAAACTGATGTGAGGTACGTTGAGTTTCAGAAAAGAATGGGGAAAATTTGTTCCTGGTTTTTATTCCTCCGCCTCTTTCTGGTGGACGGACATTTGCGTCCCAGATAATTGTGTACCTGGACATTTGCATCCTGGATAATTGCATACCTGGATATTTGTGTCCATAGACAAATGCATCTCTGGATAAGTGTGTACCTCTGATAATTTTCTTGCTAATTGCAAAACAACTATTTATTCTAATCAAGCAAGAAGGCAATTAACATAAATTTTGAAAGAAATTTTTTTTTTTTTTAAAGAGTTGTTTAATATAGAAATTTGCACACCAATATCTTTAATTACACCAAACAAGTAAAAAAAAGTAGTTACCATAAATAGAGAGAAAAATTTCTTTTTTAAAGCAAGAGAAAATTAAACGAGCAGTTTCAGTTCACTCTCGCAATGCATACCACAAACATCTTACAGATTCTGGATTTTATAAATTATATTTTAATTTGGAACCCATGGCCGAGTTATAAAGATCAAACAGTGATGGAAAAATATTTGTAGACAAGGAAAATTACAGCTACAACCATCATAAGGAAAATGCTGATGAAACAAAAACATACTGGTGATGTGTAGAATGATCTTGCAACACAATTAATCTGTTATTGTATTTTAAACAAAAATAAACTTTTAATTTCTTTTTTATTTTATTCCTTTTATAAAAATTTATGATTACTACCTATGCTGTGTTTTTTTTTTTTTTTACAAAATTTATAGTAATTAATTTTAAAAGCTTCAAAAAATTATCAGTTACACAATTCTCCATGGACACATTTGTCTGGTATGCAATTATCCTAAAACCCTCTTTTCTCCTAATCCCAACATAATACTTATTTAATTTTCTTTCATTATTATGGGGTTTTTTTCTTTGTTGCAACACGGCCCTTTAAATATGGTATTATCTGAATTTCTTAGCTTAGTCAAATACTTGTTCTATAAATAAAAAAAAAATGTTGTCATAGAAGTTCTTTTGCCTGTCTAAAATTTCTGTATAAACAACATTTTCAGCTGGGCATCTATTTTCTAAAGTTCTTTTTGTCATTATGCTAAGTCCATTTGAATTTCCTTTTCTGGACAGAGCTGCATATGACTGACCATGTCAGAAACATTTGAATAATTTTCTTATATTAAACATTCAAGTTCATTACATTCACTTTATATAAGCATTTCAGATAGAATATACCTGTAAAAAAAAGACAATATGAATAAAGATAAAAGGAAAATTTAGGGACTTTATCAAGACAAATGCAAGGATAAACAACATTTTCAGAAGAGCATCTATATTCTGAAGTTCTTTTTTTGTCATTATATTAGGTAAACGTGAATTTCCTACTCTGGACTTAGCTACATAGATATGACCTCCTATGGTCAGATCTATGTAACCATTTTCTCTACATAGCTGCAAAAGCCTCCAGTTTTGTTGAAGTATAATGTTTCCTACTTCAATCGATCTCTCACTAATTTTTATTAAGAACAATATAACCAATATCAGGATCATCAAAAATATCTCCAAAACAAGTTTTATAAATTATATTAGTTTCTTTCCAGTTCATTATTTGCAGTCTAACATACAATTTGTGTTTTAAGGCAGAATAGTTTAGGGATTTTTTTCAATACTAGAGAATTACCTGTCCTACAGAGAAAAGTTGTCATAGGTGTTCACTTATCTATCTAAAAGTTCTGTTTTCAGCAAGACATCTATTTTCTAAACTTCTTTTTGTCATTATGCTAAGTCTACTTGAATTTCCTACCCTGGACATAGCTGCATAGAGCTGACCATGACAGAAACATTTGAATAACTTTCTAATGTTAATATTAATAACTAGTTTAACCTATGAAAATTTCACGGTTTTTCTATTTGAATTTTCTGATGAATCTTAATTCTTCAGTTAATGATTAAGCTCATAGTGAGTTCTACAATAATAAAATATCCATAGAAATTCCCCTACAACATCATTAAATATTTTGAGCTTAACAACTTTAACACAATATTGTGATAACAATCATAAATATGAATGCTGGTTGTTATTTTAAGAAGTAAGTGGGTACAAATGAAAAGATTTGAAATTGACAACTTTTTTCCATTTCTCTGAAACAGATTTTAAGCACTTCTATCTTCCATTCTTTAATTTTTAATTTTCTCACTAAAACCAAGTAACATCTTTGATATGTTTTTACCTTCTCATACTGTTAATATTATAAATAAAAAGTTAATAAAAGCTAATTATTATTACTAATTTTATACTGTGAAAATTTAATGTTCTCTTACCGCTCTAAAAGTTCTGTTTTCACCAAGACATTTATTTTCTGGACATAGCTGTATATGGCCGACCATGAGAGAAACATTTGAATAATTTTCTTATATTAAACAGTCAAGTTCATTACATTCACTTATATGTAAAAATTTCAGATAGAATATATCTGTAAAAACACAATATGAATAAAGACAAAAAGAAAACTCTAAGGGACTTTGTCAAGACAAATACAAGGATTTTATTTTGTAACAAGTATTTATAGACAAGAACAAAAAATGTTACTTGTTACAAAATAAAAATCTTTGCATTTGTCTTGATAAAGTCCATCAGAGGATTAAATGTGTCAACTAAGTTTTCCTTTTGTCTTTATTCACTGGAAAAAGTATAAATCCATCTTTTCTTTACTCCCCCCCCAGCTATGGGTTGAATTGCAGGACAAAGTGCACATTATAGCCTTGGCTAGCAAACAGTCTAGTAAAAGGAAAAATGAATTCAAACCAGCCTGGGGAAAGTTGGGTTCCATCAGGCTATGTTGCTCTAAACACTACTGCTGCAGTGCATGTGATGACCCTTAGACCCTAGTGGCTTACTGGATCATTATGTTTAATGCTTAATCATTAAACATTAAAAAAAACTCAAAAAAGTTAACACAAAAGAAAATAAAAAGAAATGTCATACCAAAAAACCTGTGTCATTATGGGAAACTTTGATTGACATCCATGTTACCATAACAATGGAATATCTCATTTGAAAAATAAGGGAGGATAGGAATGTGACCAATAAATATATACTTACATTATAACATTAAAACGAATAGACATTTTATGTCCATTGACTTTATCGATCGCCTTTTATAAAATGTAAATGTTTTTACCAGGCACCTGATCTTGGGGATTGCAACCCTGCAGTAGCACCTTCTTTATTAAAAGAGCTAGGGTTGGTGTAATATAGATGCCAGCATAACAGTGGTCATGGAGATTAGGCAATTTTTGTCCTTGGCCCATATGCATATTCAGAGGTGTGGGCTCCCCACCTTAAATAAGACGTTGTGTGACATCCAACATTAATGGGGAGGCCAACTAAATACGTTATGCTCTTCTGGCCATTGAGCTGGGATCAAAGCAAATATTCTTATTTCTACAAAATAAACATCAAAATATTGTGCAGTTCAATTTTTTAATTTCTTTTTCATGGATATTTTTATTGATATCATATTTGTTTAATTCCAGGAATCCTAATTTCAGAGCTAAGCTCTATGTGTGCATTGATTCCTGGTGAACACCAATATTTTTGTGGTTTTCATGTCCCACTCGTACATGATACTGCTGTATTGGATGCAGGGGATTTTTCCAGCACATTTTTTTGTAAAAGAAATCCATGTCTAACAGACCAGCAAATACTGTATATTACTTACTAGCAGTAGAGCCCGGCGTTGCCCGGGGATGTAACAGTAAGAGACAGATCAAGTATCGACCATCATAAAGACTGAAAAATAAATTTGACAAAGATTATTGTTTAAGGTTGACGGACATGCATGTCTTAATTAGTTTTTTTTTTTTTTTTTACGAATTGGTTAAACTCAAACTAAAACATTGTTTTCAATTGTTATGAGTCTACTGATTGAATAGAATTTTATTATAAACAATTGTCTTGTAAATGGAATTTTTATAGCATTCTGAATGTAAAAATAAAGAAAAAAAGTGTGCAAGACAATAAGAAACACTACCTGCCAAAAAAAAAGTGAATTTTTGTTGAAATCAGTTGAAAAATGTAGGAAATCTGATCCCATATATAAACGAACACACACACACAACCAACCCAGGTTTTATAATAAGTATAACTTGATATGAGTTGTCTCCCTTTCATTAATGCCTCTTACTCGTGTTTTCAAATTGATTTCATGCAAAAACAATTGTGTTTTTCCAATTTTTGGCGCTGTCAGAACCACCACCAGGTAATTTTACGTAGTCCTGTGAAGTTTTGTTGAAATTGGTTGAAAAATGTAGGAAATACAATCCCATATATAAACGTACAGACACACACACACACACAATCTGCGTTTTATAATAAGTAAGATTAGTATTTCTTTCATCTTATTTTCAGTTGCTTTTTATTCTTACTTTCCAGATTCTGAGTTTATTTTCATTACTAAGCAGCATGAATTACTAATAAGTAAACTCATATTCCTCATCCTTGAGAGCTCTCTTTTCCATGACAGCTGTCTTACAATTAGGTTACAAAGACTTTAATAAATGTTAAATGTCATTAACTACTTTTTAAAATGATTGGTCAGACAACTGCTGTGGAAAGATGAGTTCACAAAGATGAATAATGTAGTTTGGAGTTTGATTTTTTTATTTCTTGGATAATATAAAATATTGTCATTTAGTTGGCTTATTCAAGTTTCTTTATCATTGAATTAAGGTTTCATTTCTGGGAACTTGACAGAATGAAGAAATATATGCTGAAGATGTATTTTCACTATTCATTCGTACATTGATGAAAATCTAACATTGTCTGAGTTCATGGTAATGGTGTTTTGACAATCAAAATTTGGCTGACCCCAGGGTCTTTATCATCAGATGGAGACTTTTTTTAGCATCACTGATGTTGATTTCAGCAAAAGAATTTTTATCAGGTTTTCCTAGATTGATGGAAATCCAACAAAATCTAGTGCTATTGTAAGGTATTGTTGAGGTAAATGGAGTTCATGGTAGTAATGCTTTGGCCATTAAACTATGTCTGACCCCAGGATATTCAATGACATCATTTATGATGGCTAACATAAATAAATAGGGATATTTGTTTTATACTTTTTTCTTTCTTCTGGTAAAGAAATTTAAAACAAAAAACTAACTTTATGTTAGTATAGTTAAAATTTTAGTGAGTTTTAGATGGTTGATGTATTGCATTGTTCTGACTGCCACTACTGGTTGATATTTGCTTATCTATGGGACTAGAACATGATATATGGTCAGTTTAATGTTTGGAACCCTATAAATAAATGGTGTAGGGGCAGTGACAAAAATTGCCCAATCTCTATGGCCAATGTCATGAAAGCGTCAGAATACTTTGACTCTTGTGTACAATGAAGAGTTGCAATAACTTACAGTTGGAATCTTCAGCACAAGACTCTCCTTGTGTTTTATCCTCTGTGCCCTACTAAAGAGCAAGAACACAGGCAAGGTGGAAGAATGGATACTACACTCTGATCCCAGCTTGAAAACTGGGGAGGTTAATTCAGAACCAGCATAGGTGAATAGTGTTCACACCCAGGACTGTGGATGCTGATTCTCCCTATTTGAAAAACTGGTGCAACACAATCTTCTCACTTTAACATTGAGTTTGATAAATATGTTAGCCTGGTAGCTGAAGTAGATATCTACTTCTCACTGGTACCAGTGATCAGTGTTTGATCCCAGACCAGGATTCTTAATGCTGATTTTCAAGGTAGACAAGATGACCCTCCCCATTGGGAAGACTGATGCATCACAATCTTTCCACTCCCATTTGACTTTATATTGTACTTTTGTATTTTGTAGTTCATGAATATCATTAGAAATTTTTTTCTTTGGTGCTTTATGGCCATATCATATTGAGACACTGGTTCTCATATGATCACCAAAGTTAAGCAATGTCAAACCTGGTCAGTACTGAGATGGGTGCCTGTTCAGGAATACCAGGTGCTATAAGCATGGATGTGTGGGTGGTGTAATAGATAATAGCTTGGAATTGTTAATTGGAGAGCTGAGTTCCAGTTCCTTTTGGGTCCAATTATGCACAAATACCCTTAGGAAAGGCATGAATCCATCTCCCCTTCTTCCATCTATGGGTTAATTAATAAGACTTGTATCACTAAAGCATTATTATCTCCAAAAAAAAAAAAAAAGATTCTTACAATCTAAAAATATTTTCTGGCTTTAAATAACCTGCAAAGGGTTGATAAGCCACCAAAAATGTATCAGTCAAATACTGATTAGTTACAAATACATGTCTTTTAGATTTATTTATATTTTCTTGAATATAAATATATAGAAACTACTCTGGCCTCAAAGTAAGGGATCAGTTTATATATTGATTGTAATGTGGAATTGATCCCCCATTTTATATTCACATTATAATTTCTTGTTTGTTTATCACATTTTGATTTAGATATGAATCCATCTCTTCCCCCCCCACCAGTTATGGGTTAATTAGTAAAGACTTGTATCACTAAACCATTTTTATCTCTAAAAAAAAAAAAAAAAAAAAAAAAACATAAATTTAAAAAATATTTTCTGGCTTTAATTAATCTGCAAAGGCTTGATAAACTATAGAAAATGAATGAATGAATGAATCAATTTCTTTCTTGGTAGATTCTGTTCTGTAACAGGTCAAATCCAATTTTTTGAATGCTGATTTTCAAAGTAGGTAAGATTTTTGCAGTCCATATTTGATTTATGCAAAAACAAATTTGATCTTCAGTTGTACAACAAAGGTCATGGCATCTTAGTGGTTGACGAATAACACACACACACACACATATATATGTATGACTTGGCATCACAACTTCAATCACTTTCTCACCAATGTAGTATCTTTTCATGATTTTTTTGTGTTTTGCATTTAAGGCATAAAAGTTTCATTTTTACATATCTGCTGGTGTATAATATATCCTGAAAAATTAATTTCAGTTGAGCTCTCTGGGGAGGAGGTGTGGGTTGGTAAACAGTGACTATTTATAGCTATATAGCGAGACTTTTTGCAAAAGCGAATCGAGTCACTGTCGGTCACTGGGCATGTTTCTAAAAATAAATACGCTAAAAATGCACATTCATTCCTACCGTGCGCCGATGGCTTAATGGTTAGAATCTCCGACTGACACCAAGTCAGTTGGGTTTCGATCCTAGCTAGAGGCAACCGGATGTCTAGCCGCACTGACGAGCTGTGAAACAGCAAAACAGTCTGTCTGTGGATGACGTATATATATATATATATATATATATATATTTGCAGTCACTTCCTCTTCAGTTATTGTTGGTTTCTTTTTTTGCTTTGTTTCTTTATTTTGTTCTGTTGCATAATATGCCCAATACGATATTCACCGATCTGTCTTTTACATCAAGTACTTTTACTATTTTACCTTATGTTAACTTCTTATACAAATATATATATATATTGCCTCATGCATGAAACTCAAAGTTGTACTAAATGGTGAGGAACAAAATATTAATGTTTTTAGATATATAAAAAAGGAAATTTATCTTAGCTAATGCATTTTGTCCTCTGAACAACTTTATCAAGGCAAATGCATGGATGTTATTTTGTGACAAGTATTTATATACAAGAGCAAAAATGTTACTTATTACAAAAAAAAATCCTTACATTTGACTTGATGAAGTCCATCAAAGGATTAAACGTGTCAGCTAAGTTAAGTTTCCTGTTTATCTTCCTTCATATTGTCCTTTTGCAGATTATATTCCATTTGAAATTTTACATACATACACACACACACACACACACACACACATATATATATATATATGAAAAAGTGGAAAATTATTTTTCATGTGATGGGTTTTGTTCTTTGGGGCTTTATCGGATTAAAGTGAAGTTTACATTGATGTAACTACCCATATACACAAACAAGGTGGGGGGGGCACTAATTTTAAACTTAAACTTAATTTAATTTTTTAATATTTGTTTGAGTATATAGTCTAAGCAATTTCATTTAGTTTCTTTTTCTGGTATATAAAAATTTATATATCTTTTTTCACACACACACACACACACACATACACATATATATATATATTTATGACAATATTGGGGGAAAAATGTATGACAAAGTGGAAAATGTTTTCTTGTGACTCATTTTGTCCTTTAGGACTTCATTGAACTAAGTTTGTTGGTGCGACTATATATATGGATGAACAAGGAATGCTGGGAATTTTAAATATATATATATTTTTTTTTTTTTTTTTTTTTTTTTTAAATGAAATTCGCTTTATTAAATTTTTTTTTTTAAATTTAAAATTCCTAGCATCCCTCATTCTTTGCATGCATGCATATATATATATATATATATATATATATATATATATATATATTATATATATATATATATATATATATATATATATATATATATATATAGTCACACCAACAAATTTAGTCCAATGAAGTCCTAAAGGATGAAATGCATCATAAGAAGTTTTTCAAATATTTCCAGAATTAACTGAATAATTCTAGAAGTGTGAAACACTTCTTTTCATTTCTAGAAATTTTATTTTTGTAATCTAGAAATTTCTAATTTCTAGAAAAATTTCAGTAGTTTCCAGAATTAACTGAATCATTTCAAAAGTCTGAAATACTTCATTTCTAGAAATTTTTAGTAATTCTAGAAAATTTAATTTTTGGAAAAATTTCCAAAAGTTTCCAGAATTAACTGAATAATTACAGGAGTGTAAAACACGTTTCATTACCAGAAATCTTTTCATAGTAATTGTAGGAAATTTCTAGAAGTTTCCAGAAGTTACTAATAATTCCAAATATAAATCAGGAAAAGTTTGTGGTTTTTCAAATTATCGTAAATGAATTATATTCCTATTGCTCGTATCTGAATCATATTTTAAGTAATGGTATTTTTGTTAACTTTATTGTTGCTTCTGTTTTGCTTGTCATTAAACTTTACTAATCCTGGGTATGTTAGGATTGCTTCAATTTCCCAATCCTTGCTGCAAGTAAACATAACATCTTCAGGATTCTTTTGCAGAGTTCTATTTATTTGCATCAAGCTGTTTAACTAGAATAGTCACTTCTTCTTGTATGGGTTGCTTCCCATCAGGACATGGCCGATCATGACTCTCTACAACTTTGTAGTTGTTAGTAAGGTTTATCTTTTCACCAATTCTCCCTATTCTACTATCCATTTACATAAAGCTTGTTTAGGTAAGTTACTCAGTTTTCCTTTTATCTCTATAATCTCCTTATGTTCAGTAACTTTTTTTTTTTGTTAAGCACATCATTAAATGATGTAACCATTCTCTTCTTCTATATACCATATCTTCTCAGGATATGGGCAATCATGGCTCACCACAATTTCCTATCCTTTAAACGTCTTAGTAAAGTTTGTCATTTTTCTATCTTTCCTAATCTGTGTTCTGCTGCCCATTTACACAACCTCATTGGATAAGTTAAACACTGCTCTCCTCTGCTTCTCTTGCCTTCAGTATGTCCTGTGAGTGTCAAATTCTCCACACCCTCTTTCCTCATTATGTGTCCTAGAGATTTCAACTTTTTCTTTTTGATTCTAAGTATAAACCTCCTTTTTGTTTGTCTCTCCTTAAAACAGTCACATAAAAAACATTTCATCTGACAAAAAATACATTTTGAGGTTTTATATTCTGAATTTAATCAAGTAAAATATTGTCAAACCCTTTTGAAAATCTCTGAACCAACAATTATTTTTTATTACAAAAATATTGTTAAAATCTATTTTCTGTACTTACCAAAATAAAAGTTAGTCATTTCCTGATTACTTATCTCTGTCTAACTGACAACTAGTAAGATACTGTTTTATATTTTTAGTTATCTATTTTTTTTTCATAATATATGAACACTGTATTATAAGCTTAAAGCTGTAGGGTTCAGTCTCCTATATATAATACCAGTTTGTTGTTGGGTGCAGTGTTATAGTTGCATATTTTTTTGGGGGGATGGGGGGAGAAATTCATCTTAGATGCTTGCAAATACAGTGTGTAAGTAAATTAATAAGTCTGCAGCCTCATGATGAAAGAAAGATGATGAAAGAAAGCATTTATCTTATGCAACAAATATCTGTTTTGTAACATGATCTCCTTCCTTGTGTTATGAAGTATGCATGCTAGTAAAATGACAACACAAGTTTTGAATCTTTCATATTTAACACTGCATTTTATTCAACTCATGACTCAGTTACTCGCAGTCAGTACGTGGTGCAACCCACAGAGACCTCGTCTGAAACGTGGTCCTCACATTCCTGAATTGTAGTATGTGATAGCCTGCTTCTAACTTCTCAGGTGGTTGTTGATGTAGCCGCCTGTATCAAAAAATCTTTCTCCTGCTTGCAAAATCAGTGTGAGGTCACATAATTCTTTTTTTGGCGGTCAGGAGTGATCCAGGTCAATCTCTCTTCCTTGATGGTCTGTAATGTCCTCTCTGGCATTGGACTGCATATGTTTTTGCATTTAATTCAGTGTTGAATATTAATCATGTCAATTGGATATTATACACTGAAAATTTCAGATCAAAATTCAGTTAATAACTCTGTGTCAAGTTATGGACTTGTTGATCTACCCTGGTTAATTTGAAGAGGTTGGCTATTACACAAACACTACATTTGAGTCTGAAAGCAACACCAAAAAGCCAAATTATCATGACTGGAAGTTGTCAAATATCTGTGCTAGATGCTGTGATATTGTTTACATGCTTTGTGGTTAATATACACTTCTTATTTGGGATTTGGAAAGATTTTTTTTTTTTTTTTAGATTTGTACAGCTGAATAATCATTGTCTGGTTTTTCTAAAGCCCTTCAACATCCTATTCCACAAAGAAGCATTTTTGTTTTACTACAAGTGTTGGTTTCAATACCTATTCGGAATAACTGCAAAATGATTTCCCTTCCCTAATTTACATGCTGGGATTTCTTCATAACCAATAAAATAGGCTGG